AACAAACTACGTCTATTTTTATACATACCAACCCTAACTATTGTCTCTAGTTTTTATTACCATTTCTGAATAGTGATGAATAGTGGAAATATATTGCTATCTAGGTATTAGGAAAACCCGATGGCACTACCGCTTGACATCAGGCTTCTCGAAGCGGGTATCAAAACCGGTACTTGTGAATGAAATTCCATAGCTTTAATCATTAGCCCACCGGCGAGCCAAAGTAACGTAATAAACCTTTTTTTTGAATGCCATATGATAAAAAAAAATTGTGTCTTTTTCGAATTTGTAAAAACAGAATGTATTTGTGTTTGTTAAAAGTGTTGTTCTACTATACTCGAAAAATACAAATATTACTATTCATTCTACAAATAAATTTTACACGTTTCATAAACTTTGATTCGCTTGCAAATGATTTTTAGTGTCCAGCATGTTTACTAACAGCAGGTAAATGTCGGGAATTAACTCAAATAGGTCACGCGGATAATTCCAATTACATATTTAAATTAGTTAATTTAAGGTATCACGATTTCGCAATGAAAGTATTAATAGTTGAAAATAAAACAGTAGAATGTGCTGACAGATAGTACCAAAAAAAAGATTATTTTAGGCAGAACGTGATTGACTATAATCAGTTTCGCGCCGTCTAAAAATAAATCACAATGAGGTACGGAATTGTCGCCTTTAATAGTATTTCTAATTATAGATTTAGGCATTTATAATGTATGGATTCAGTAGAAAGGCTCAGGTGTTTTCAATTTGCGAAAAAATAATAGAATTTATTTTAAGCTCTTTTATTTTCCTATAATACTCACGACGATTGGATGTTTCTGATTATGAGGTAGTTTTATTCGAACTGATTTTCGAACATGCGTAACGAAAGAGAAATAACATTCATTATACATGAGATAATTATTAATAATGAAGATTTTGATAATAAAGCACATAATACGATTGTATGATAAAAATTAAATTGCAGAATTCAATTTAGATTAGGTATTCTTTTATAATTATAATGTTTTTTTTTCATTGTAATTATTTAGTGAAACAGCTATATAAGCGTCTTTTTTCATTAAAAAAATCGTTATCCTTCTACTTCATAAAATATTAAATAACATCTTGATGTCAAATCAGAATTCATAAAAAAGTTCATAAATTATTCTAGAGTTCTAAATTCACATCGTTCAGGAATATTCGTGATATGAAAATAATGCGTCACGATTCAGTCAAAACAAATAATAAAAAATGCAGTAATATCTTATTCGCGTTTCGCAACAAACTCGACGATTTTTGCAAGAACTGTTTGTAAGACAAATATATTGACAAAGTCAGAATTTTGTGGAAAATCAATTTAGAGCAAATGTACATGTCTTAAATAAATACCTATATTACGTTTGACGCATGAAAGGAAAATAAAATGTGAATAAATAGTACGAATGTAGGTAGATACATATAAACGCTCTTGGGAATTCAATAAATAACAACGTGAGATTAGTTTTGCAGGTACTCGATGGGAAAAGGTCGCACTTAGGAAAAAATATAATGTAATCCAATTTTTATGAATGCTACATACTTAAACTACCACAATATTTAGGTAATAAATAGATTCTACTAAAATTATATACATGAAGCGCACAAGTATAACATTATACAGTATAAATTAGTTTTTAGATCAGAACAAAAGATATCTTGGTCCAATTCCTGTATTTTTCGTTCTGATATGACACATTTTAGTAAAAATGTCCAAATTTGTTTTAAGTATATGCTTAATATGTCGATGTGAAACAAAGTGTAAAAAATGTATGCAGAATAAAATAAACATTTAAAACAACAACGATTAATTTTAGAATTTTTTCGGAAAATTTTTCTAAATTAATGTCTGTTCTGCAAGTTTATATATACCGATAAAATTAAAGAACAGGTTAATAAAATAAAGTTGAACCTGTTTAAGTAGGATGTATACATATAAAGACATATAAAGTCTCAATGAAGAAGTGTTTTAAATAATGCTATCTGAAATTCATATTGATATAAAATAT